AAGGGGTGAGTTTCTCTCATCGTATTATTACGGTACCGCTAGACATTTAATCCCTATAGTCTGAACTAATTATTTACTTGCACGGATGGCCAATAGAACTCTCGTGATATGAAAACTGAATATTTTGTCATATGCAATGTAAATTACTCCCAAACTTTGTAACAATCAAAGTTCAGAGAAAAATTCTAATTAAGATCCCACCACGTGCCTCAAATAAACAAAACATGAAACAATGAGAAGATATTAATTTATTAATTTGCTCCTTTGCAGAAACTTGATATCAACGTTTGAAGAATATGTCTGTGGGATGAATATATTTAAGCATGATATAGATACCAAAATATTAATGTTTAAAGCATAAATTTCAGGGACAATTCAGAACATTTTATCTTCTCTCTCTCTCTCTCTCTCTGTCTCTCTCTCTCTCTCCCCTTATATGAAAGTTTTATTAAATTATTCTAAATTTTAGATACATCACAATATCTCTTGATAAGATCCCTTCACGTGCCTCACAAAACATGAAACAGTGAGAACATATTAATTAAGAATGTGCTCTTTTGCAGAAACTTGATATCGTTTAAAGAATATATCTGTGGGATGAAAATACTTAAGCATGTTGTAGATACACAAAATATTAAGGCTTCAAGCATAAATTTCAGGGATAATTCAATCTCTCTCTCTCTCTCTCTCTCCCTTGTATGGATGTTTTCTTAAATTATTGTAAATTTAATGCTCTCTCTCTCTCTCTCTCTCTCCCCTTGTATGAAAGTTTTATTAAATTGAATTTATTAATCAAATAGTTATATTCACAATATAATATCTATAAGAGGTCATCAGTTCATTGTGTTGATTGCAATTAAAATTTGAGGTTTATTTCTTTATTTGCACGTGTCGCTTCTGTTCCAAACTCATTTGCAAGACCATGATTCATCAGGTGATAAATCAAGTCACATTGACTTTATCGTTGTGTAGTGAGGAGGAAATTCCTAGAGAACTTCCATTTAGGAACATTGCAAGGCACTGCAGTGCAATACAAAAGGCCTTTTTGTTCTGCAATTCAGATTTTTCCCTCAAGGAAGCACAAGATCTCTTCTTGTACAGCGGAGGAATTTACCCACCACCACCCTTCAAAGATGTCCTTTTATACAAATTTTGCCTTCGCTTCAGCAAAAGGTTTTGAAATTTGCATAATTGAAGTCACCTCTTACTCAAGTAAGATAACTCCACCCACTTGATAATGTCCCTTTGACTTACACGCATACAGAATTGGTCGAAATCCACATCATATTTAATGCCATTTTTAACCCAATTAGACCTGTACTAATAAATGACCGTTCTCTTATTTCCATTCAAATTGTGTCAAATGTGCAATACAGTTTTGCAACAAGGACTAGAATTCTTAGATGAATTTTGATAGGACATCAGCTTCTTTAGCTTTTTTGAACGGATAACCATCTGAGAGTTAACAATGAATAGCGGACGGTCTAAAAGGGGTGAGTTTCTCTCATCGTATTATTACGGTACTGCTAGACATTTAATCCTTATAGTCTGAACTAATTATTTACTTGCACGGATGGCCAATAGAACTCTCGTGATATGAAAACTGAATATTTTGTCATATGCAATGTAAATTACTCCCAAACTACTAGATGCAATTTTGTAACAATCAAAGTTCAGAGAATAATTCTAAGTGGGAATAAGATCCCTCCACGTGCCTCAAATAAACAAAACATGAAACAATGAGAACATATTAATTTCTTAATTTGCTCTTTTGCAGAAACTTGATATCAACGTTTTAAGAATATGTCTGTGGGATGAAAATACTTAAGCATGATATAGATACACGAAATAATAATGTTTGAAGCATAAATTTCAGGGACAATTCAATTCATTTCTCTCTCTCTCTCTCTCTCTCTCTCCCCTTGTATGAAAGTTTTATTAAATTGAATTTATTAATCAAATAGTTATATTCACAATATAATATCTATAAGAGGTCATCAGTTTATTGTGTTGATTGCAATTAAAATTTGAGGTTTATTTCTTTATTTGCACTGATTTGCACGTGTCATTTCTGTTCAAAACTCATTTGCAGGACCACGATTCATCATTTGATAAATCAAGTCACATTGACTTTATCGTTGTGTGGTGAGACTGATGTTGAGGAAATTCCTAGAGAATTTCCATTTAGGAAGATTGCAGGACACTGCAGTGCAATACAAGAGGCGTTTTTATTCTGCAATTCAGATTTTCCCTCAAGGAAGCACAAGATCTCTTCTTGTACAGCGGAGGAATTTACCCACCACCACCCATCACAGATGTCCTTTTATACAAATTTTGCCTTCACTTCAACAAAAAGTTTTGAAATTTGCATAATTGAAGTCACCTCTTACTCAAGTTAGATAACTCCACTCACTTGATAATGTTCCTTTGACTTGCACACATACAGAATTGGTCGAAATCCACATCATACTTAATGCCATTTTTAACCCAATTACACCCTGTGCTAATAAATGACCGTTCTCTTATTTCCATTCAAATTGTGTCAAATATTTTGCAACAAGGACTAGAATTCTTAGATGAATTTTGATAGGACATCAGCTTCTTTAGCTTTCTTGAATGGATAACCATCTGAGAGTTAACAATGAATAGCGGACGGGGTGAGTTTCTCTCATCGTATTATTATGGTAACGCTAGACATTTAATCCTTATGGTCTGGACTAATTATTTACTTGCACGGATGGCCAATAGAACTCTCATGATATGAAAACTGAATATTTTGTCATATGCAATGTAAATTACTCCCAAACTACTAGATGCAATTTTGTAACAATCAAAGTTCAGAGAATAAAACTTACAGGGAATAAGATCTCTCCATGTGCCTTAAATAAACAAAACATGACACAATGAGAACAAATCAATTTGCTTCTTTGCAGAAACTTGATGTCAACGTTTTAAGAATATGTCTGTGAGATGAAAATTAAAGCCAAAATTTCAGCAACAATTCATCTCTCTCTTCTCGTATGAAAGTTTATTGCAATTCCTCTTATACCCATGAATAACATCTAACAATACTTTTGCAGTATCTTTTTTACATACTGCCATTGTGACCTCCTATTTTACTTTTTGATCCGACAATTATTTCATTTCTCCCTGAGCAAAACACGGACTTTGCCATATTAACCATATGGGAGGTGAGGGGTCTCTCTTACAGGGAATAAGATCCCTCCAAGGTCTCCCCAGTATCTCTGGTTTGAATCAATTGCAATCGATGAGTGGAGTGTGAGCCCCTGGTGCTTTTTCCTATATCACAAATGTGTGTATCATATTTTTTCTTCTATCCATTCTATTGGCTATAGAGTCTGAGATTTACATCTTATTTTTTCCCAAAAGGTTGTACTTGTTAGATGTTAGTATGACAGTCATAATTTGGTCAAAAAAATCTGAATTTCTATTGCTTTCATAACAAGAGGCCCACAGGCCTTATAGGTCACCTGAGTATTGTGTAACAACTTTCAAACAATTAAATTTGGTTCGTGTTTAAACCGGAGGCCATGAAATTCACAATTCACAATTTTGAAAGAGGCACCATTGCATATCATAATTATTAACTTAGCATGCTTACTCTATTTACTTAATACCCAGAGGTAGATCAGAGTAACAAAGAGAAAATGCACTTTCACTTTATAACCAGTTGTGCACCTCATCCCAAAAGAACCACTGACCCTGGGGCCATATATTTCAAAATTTTGTCATAAAATGGTTGATTAATACCAAAGAGCAGATTTCAAAGCATTAATTTATTTTCAGGCTATGTAACCACCCCCCTTTGACCCTGGGGGCATTAATAACCACTTTTCTAGATGCACCTTTCTTCATCATAAATATATATATACTTGGATCATTGGCTTAAAACCCAAAAGCAAAGAAAAATATTTACAAAGAATAAATGTATTTTTACTATCTAATCAATAGAGCCCCGACTTAACACCAGAACCCATGACCCTGGGGCCATAAAATTCACAATTTTGGAAGAGGCACTCTTGCTCATCATAACTATGTGCTTATTTAGTGTATTTAATACCCAGGAGCAGAGAAGAAGATTTTCTAAGAAATAATGCATTTTCACTATATAATCTATAGAGCCCCGCCCTAATACCAGAACCCCTGACCCTGGGGCCATAAAATTCACAATTTTGGAAGAGGCACTCTTGCTCATCATAGCTATGTGCTTAGTTAGTTTATTAAATACCCAGGAGCAGAGAAGAAGATTTTCAAAGAAATAATGCATTTTCACTATATAATCTATAGAGCCCCGCCCTAACACCAGAACCCCTGACCCTGGGGCCATCACAAATCTGGAAGAGGCACTCTTGCTCATCATAACTATGTGCTTAGTTAGTGTATTTAATACCCAGGAGCAGAGAAGAAGATTTTCAAAGAAATAATGCCTTTTCACTATATAATCTATAGAGCCCCGCCCTACCACTAGAACCCCTGCCTTTGGAGCCAGAATTTCACAATTTTGGTAAAGGACTCAATGTTCATTACATTCATGCCAATAGTTTGCCTGCTTGATGTCCAGGAGTAAAGAAGAAGATTTTTAAAGATTTCATTAATTTTAGTGGTTTTGGCCCCACCCCTCAGGCCCCAGGGGGGCGGGGATCATGAAATTCACAATTTTTGTTCCCCTTCACCCATAGATGCTGTATACCAAATTTGGTTGAAATTGGTTCAGTGGTTTCAGAGAAGAAGCTGAAAATGTTCAAATGTTAACACACGACACACGATGCACGACGACGGATGAAAACGGATAGCAATAGGTCACCTGAGTTACTCAGGTGACCTAAAAAGTTTTAACTGGGAAAAAAATTATAAACACAGAAATCTACAGAGCTAACTCCCTAACCTCACATATTTTAGCTCAATTATCCTTCACACACTTTTGAAAGAATACCATAAATATGGGTAAAGTTTTTGAATAAATGCAATAAAAACACATATTTGTATTTTCAAATTTACTAGAAAAAACAACAACAAAGAGCAAATAATCCAAATAAAAGAGATTCATAATACAAACAGTTTTTTCTTCCTAAAAAAAAAAAAAAGAGTTGTTTTATCTTTGATGTTTAAAAAAATAATATTATGCCAAATATGTGTGCACATTTACATGATTGAAAATCTATTTGCATATTCAAAATCAGTTGAAATTCTTTGATATCAGAATAAGTTACATATTCAATTAAAATATCACAATCTGACACCATTTTTAAGCCACTACAAATTAATAAATAACTGAATGATTTAAAGACTTTTCATATATACTGCTGAAAATGCAGCATGGGATACATTGACATTGAGATCAACCACTACATTTGATCCAATCCTTACTAATATTCTTCCAGAAGTTTTATTACAATCTTTTTCTTTTGAACTTTTATCACAACTAGTAATTGAAAAAACAGGAATCAAAATACTGTTTAAAATCTGTTGGCGATATACATGCATTCAAAATAAGTCTCTTGGCCATATATAAAGTTCAAAAATTTATGTTGGTTAAAAAAAATTTCTTCTCTACTCCTTGTACCTTCTTTTTGTACATGTAACTGACACTGAAATAATTTAATGCCACAATTAACCATCAGCCATGCAAACTAAATACTCTACCAAGCATTTAACCTTATGCAAATAATATCACTATTTACGTTTTCAGGAAATCCGTAATAATCAAGACAAAAAGGAAAAAAAAAATCACATTGCATTGTACATGTACATTTAGTTGTAAAAACAGACTACCTTTCAGAGTCAAAATTTACATATCAGAACATTGGACATTAATTAAGTTGTAAAAGCAGACTAGCTTTGATAGTCAAAATTTACATATCAAAACATTGGACATTAATTTAGTTGCAAAAAAAGACTAGCTTTGATAGTCAAAATTGACAGGATATTTAATGCCTCTTCAGCAAAAATCATTATCACAGGGCAAGTAAAGGATCATTAGCTGTGCACTACACGAAATACTTCAAGACAATAGATGGAGTATGTACAAATGGACGTCAGTAAAACATTAAATGAAAACCAAAACTGGACTTGAGTTTGACATAGCTTGTATTCCACCATTAAACCAATTCCATTCAAATTCAATCCATACTGATAGAAAAATTAAAATCTCATGCCACCACACAGTTTTTGACTCATACCAGTATGCTTCAATCACTATTCTAGCTTGTTTAGCAACTCCCTCCTTCATGAAATATTCACAAGGGAAAGTAACTGCTGATTTCCAGCTTGAAAAATTACTGGTTTAATATTTGAACTGGCAGAATTACAAAATTTTAAGTTGTAATTCTTTCTTGTTATTTTCTTTTGAAACAGTACAGTCTCAAAAAGATCTACGTATAGCTATGCATACTTCTTGCCGTGCAATGTACACATATGGAATATTTTATCAAAACACATTAATCCCACATAAACACATGATAAAACTGTTACCAAATCAATCAATAATTATTTTTTCCAAAAAAATGACACATTAATTTTTTAAACTGACAAGGAAGGGGGGTGGAAGTAAGTTTATCACTGTGCATGATGCTTGTTTGAAGTTGCATTTCTTAATATTGGAACTGAAAAAATTTTCTAGTGCAATAACAGTCATCTATAGGATACTCCTACAGCCTTCCACAGGAGCACTCCTACACAGTCCTGCTCCTACACACGGAGACCTGCATACTGTCCTCCTAGTGCCTCATATCGGACCTCCTTAGAGCGGCAGAACAGGATACAGCTACAGATCATGCCCAGGACCTGTCAATCAAAGAACAAGACATTATTATCCTTAAAAATAATGAGTCTATCTGAGTGAGAATATGATAAATGCAAGGAGACAAATCTCAATGTTTCCCTCTTGAAAAGGGTGACAATTGTGTGGTGGATGGGTGAAATACATCAAATTGAGTGAAGTCTTACCAAAATCACAGCTAGACCAATGGCAGTGCCTGCAATGTAGGCCAAATTGGACATGAATTCATGTTCTAACTTCTCATAGCACCCCTGTTAAAGAATAAAATATCAGCGAGGTAAGATTATCATTTTTACTCAAATTATTCATGCTAAATACCATATAATCCCTACTAACCGCCCCGGGCGCTTAGAAAATTGTGAAAAAGGGGGCGGTTATTTTGGTATTTTATTTATAATATTGAATGTCATTCTTATACTTTAAAAATTTTCAAGAACAATTAAGATAATGTTGAACTTTATTTTAAGTGAAGATAATCCACCCAAATTATGCTATACGACTCATTTTCCACCGCGAAATTGGATAATAGATAATTTACATTTTCACTTTCTTCAAATTTTGGCAGGCTTTTGGTACAATTCTAGATGATTTTAATCACTGTACAGGGGGCCCTTATTTCCTGATAATTGAAAAAAGACCAAGGGGGCGCTTATAGGGGCAGGGGCGGTTAATAGGGATTACACGGTAATTGTCTTAAGATTCTTCTTTCATTTACAAAATAACTGCATATATTTCAATTTAAGCTCAAGTTCAACTATAGCTTCATTCCTCTAATCAATAGACTTTGTAAGTGATGAATGCTATTGACTTTACCTTCTGGTAGATGTATTTAGGATCATTGACCATTTTTCGCTGCTCCTCTGTGCAGTTAACACCAGAGACACAGCAGCTTTCTGGGACGGTTTTGTTGGCAGTTGGGGCCCAGGTCTTAGCACTCAACCAATCAGAGGCATTGTTTACACCACAACACTTCAGCTTTAATTTATATGGAAAGCAATCCCTTGTTATATCCATTATATATATTTATAAAAATAAAACTTTTACAAAATGTTCATTTAAAAATACATCTTTCCAAAATAAGTTCCCCCATATAATGATTCCATACTCCTAAAATTACTGTAGAAGTACTTTTTTCCGGGTGGTATTAATTTACACTATGTATGCGGTCACAAATTTTCCGCTGAAATTTGTCCAAGTGTACTTTAAAATATAAATGTAAGGCAAAAAGTGACAGTCTGAGAAATCCACGTAATTTTCTACCTGCAGATTAAGGACAGATGAGACGTTCCTTAATAATATATAAAATTTTCCAAGAGTTTGTCATTGAAGTATTGCTACTTAAACATGTTTACTCACAAAAAATTGAGGTACCTTACCAGGCATTTCTGCAAGATACCAAGGGTAGTGTTTCTTATATAATCCTTTTTGGAAGAAGAATAATTTTCCAATTTCAAATGTTTAAGTGTTTGGGTTTAATCAAAACGTTTAGAAACTGGTTTAGAAATCAGAATGTTATTAAATTTTTGAATATTTTTCATACATTACGAAGATATACAAAACAGATTTTGAGGAACGTCTCGTCTGACCTTAAAAGAGAATTGAGATTCCATGGAATTATGACCCCGTGGAAAAAAGTATGTCTACAGTATACTAGTATTCCTCCCTCCTCTACTATGTATATAAATTATATCAAATATAACAGTCCTATCATTTCATCTCAACCAACACTCAGCTGATCTTTGAACTCTTAGACTATGTATTCTACTGAGACTACCTCCAATTTCCCCCATTTTATCACCCAACGTTTCCCAAATGTACAAATAATGTCACTTTCATCCCAGTCCCTAAGCCTTTCCCTTCTGATCTATTGTATGCAGTTCTCTGTAACTTACATGTTTCTGTAGGTAATCCACCTGGTCTCGCTGAGTACTGTTTGAGTTGTAAGCATCAATTGCCTTCTGTAATCCGTTCTCCACCGCATTGGTAACCTAGGTAGAAAATATTTACAGTAAGTCATGCTATTTTACTTATTGAAGCCAAAATAAATAATGTGTCATCTAAATGAGAACTCTGTAATGTTTCAAGATTTCTTAAAAATGAAACACATTTATATTTTTGTTACATACTATTCTTCTTTTATCATTTATTTAGCTTAATAACACTTTGAGGTCATTGTATCATCCGTCTTCATTGTGACTTTTTATACCAGATTAACTCTTCATTCAGTATTTCGGCATTGATATTCAAATCATTTCGATACATATACTTCATCTGACAGAAGATTAAAATGTAAATCATTACAACAAACATCTGACTTACATCACTTCTGAATCCATAGCCAAGAGCTCCTGATGTTATAAGTGCTGTTAGAATCACCAGTAAGAAAGAGAATAGCTGAAAAACATAGTAATGAATCAGTTGGATCAATTGTTTACATCACAACAAATAATAATGAATATCATGTAATTAAACAAGAGGCCCATGGGCCACATCGCTCACCTGAGAAGCTTTGACCATTCTGTTCTTTACCAGATTTCCCCCTTGTTATACATAATGCATCCCCACCCTACCCCCCTGATCATAATTTAGACATTTTGAAATCTACACTAACCCATGATCCTTCCATGGGCACATATGTTTCAGCTTTTTTGGCCCAGTGGTTCCTGAGAAGAAGATTTTCAAAGATTTTTCCTATATATTTCTGTGTAAAACTTCCCTATAACGGCACCGCCCTTCCCCCAGGAATCATGATTCCTATAATTTAGAATTTACACTACCCTAGAATGCTTCTTTATATATAAGCTTCACTTTTTTTGGCCCAGTGGTTCTTAAGAAGAAGATTTTCAAAGATTTTTCCTATATATTTCCATATAAAACTTTGATTCCAAATTGTGGCCCCGCCCTTCGCCCGGGGGTCATTATTTTAACAATTTAGAATCTACATTATACCAGGATGCTTCCACATAAGTTTCAGCTTTTCTGGCCCAGTGGTTCTTAAGAAGAAGATTTTCAAAAATTTTTCCTATATATTTCTATGTTAAACTTTGATACCCCATTGTGGCCCCGCCCTTCCCCCGGGAATCATGAATTGAACAATTTAGAATCTACACTACCCCAGGGTGCTTCCACATAAGTTTCAGCTTTACTGGCCCAGTGGTTCTTGAGAAGAACATTTTCAAAGATTTTTCCTATATATTTCTATAAAAAACTTTGATTCCCCATTGTAGCCCCACCCTTCCCCCAGGGGTCATTATTTTAACAATTTAGAATCTACATTATACCAGGATGCTTCCAATCCACATAAGTTTCAGCTTTTCTGGCCCAGTGGTTCTTGAGAAGAAGATTTTCAACGATTTTTCCAATATATATTTCTATGTAAAACTTTGATTCCCCATTGTGGCCCCGCCCTTCTCCCGGGGGTCATGATGTGAACAATTTAGAATCTACATTATACCAAGATGCTTCCACATAAGTTTCAGCTTTTCTGGCCCAGTGGTTCTTGAGAAGAAGATTTTCAAAGATTTTTCCTATATGTTTCTATATAAACTTTGATTCCCCACTGTGGCCCCGCCCTTCGCCCGGGGGTCATGATTTGAACAATTTAGAATCTACATTATACCAGGATGCTTCCACATAAGTTTTAGCTTTTCTGGCCCAGTGGTTCTTGAGAAGATTTTCAAAAATTTTTCCTATATATTTCTATGTAAAACTTTGATACCCCATTGTGGCCCCGCCCTTCCCCCGGGGGTCATGATTTGTACAATTTAGAATTAACACTACCCAAGGGTGCTTCAACATACGTTTCAGCTTTACTGGCCCAGTGGTTCTTGAGAAGAAGATTTTCAAAGATTTTTCCAATATATATTTCTATGTAAAACTTTGATTCCCCATTGTGGCCCCGCCCTTCTCCCGGGGGTCATGATGTGAACAATTTAGAATCTACATTATACCAAGATGCTTCCACATACGTTTCAGCTTTTCTGGCCCAGTGGTTCTTGAGAAAAAGATTTTCAAAGATTTTTCCTATATATTTCTATATAAAAATTTGATTCCCAATTGTGGCCCCGCCCTTCCCCCGGGGGTCATGATTTGTACAATTTAGAATCTACATTATACCAGGATGCTTCCACATAAGTTTCAGCTTTTCTAGCCCAGTGGTTCTTGAGAAGAAGATTTTCAAAGATTTCTCCTATATATTTCTATGAAAAACTTTGATACCCCATTGTGGCCCCGCCCTTCCCCCGGGGGTCATGATTTGAACAATTAAGTATCTACACTACCCCAGGGTGCTTCCACATAAGTTTCAGCTTTTCTGGCCCAGTGGTTCTTGAGAAGAAGATTTTCAAAGATTTTTCCTATATATTTCTATATAAAACTTTGATTCCCCATTGTGGCCCCGCCCTTCCCCCGGGGGTCATGATTTGAACAATTTAGAATCTACACTACCCCAGGATGCTTCCACATAAGTTTCAGCTTTACTGACCCAGTGGTTCTTGAGAAGAAGATTTTTTAATGACCCAACCCTATTTTTGTCTTTTCTTGATTATCTCCCCTTGCGAGGGGATATGTCCCTTCAATTTAACAATTTAAATTCCCCTTCACCCAAGGATGCTTTGTACCAAGTTTCGTCAAAATTGGCCCAGTGGTTCTTGAGAAGAAGTCGAAAATGTGAAAAGTTTACAGACGGACAGACAGACAGACAGACGGACAGACGGACGGACAGACGGACGGACGACGGACAAAATGTGATCAGAAAAGCTCACTTGAGCCTTCGGCTCAGGTGAGCTAAAAAATTATTCATTTTATATGCACTATGCATGTTAGACTATTTCTATATTATTTTAGTCTGTCAGAAAATTTTACATGAGTAAAAAAATATAGATATAAGTTCAATTACCACAGCCAACAGGCACTTGTTTTCTTTAAATGCTGCCGTGCATCCAACCAAACCAACAATAAACATCATCACACCCACTGCGATGATGATGGAGGCAGGAATCAGGGTGAAGTTGGCTTCTGCGATTTCATCGAAATGTTTGTAGGTATTGAACACCCATCCACCAACAAAGAACAAGCCTGCTGCTACAGCCTAATGGAAAAAAAGAAGCACTGAATTGAATACATACCTACACGTATATTTATCAATCTATATATATTCATTAAACCAATTACAATCTTTTCTACAAAAAGTATTAATATAATTTAAAGTAGAAAATGCCTTTATCTTATAAATAAAATACAGATTTCAACACATATATTGACAAATTTGTTAAATGGATATGCAAATTTGCAGGTTCTAGTGAACTTGCCTAATACCTTATTATATATTAGCCAAGTCTTACAGTAAATAATAGTAATATCTAGCACTACAGCAACAATAAAATTTGAATTTCATTGATTCAACACCTTTTAAGAAAACATGTTCTTCCTATTGTTAAATTAGACGATAAGTACATGTATACTTTCTAGTGTTGTACCGATAATCAGAAAACATCGATTATCGACGAAAAAATGCTACCGATTCCAATGATCAATTGTAATATTTCATAATCGATCATCGGAAACATACTTCTAATAAAAGTACATTCCAGAATTATCCATTTCTGGTTTAAAATTTATTTCTTCTTATAAATGAATGAAAAGGATTCTGCTTCTAATACTAGTCAACTAGCAGAGTAAGCACGAAGCAGAGGTGCTAAGGAACCGCGAGTAAATTTTGGTGTGGGCTCATAAAATTTATAACTTAATTTTTTGTTCGCCCACGTGGCAAATTAAAAACTGCAGGACCATTCCAGTTCCCTTACTGAAAACAGACGTTTTCTCCATGTTTTTTGCTTTAAAACTTCTGATCAATTAAATAAATAAAAGTAACATGGTCCTGTATTGTTCATAAACATCCTTCATCTAATCCATTTACCAGTACTAAAAGATTTGTGAAATCTTTAAAACGATCGTCTTGTTTTCTAATCTGAATTTCCTCCATTCCACTGTGTATCGTTTGTACATGGTAGATATCCAATTATTTTTTTTTTCAATTACTCAGTCATATGAAATGGAAGTGTTATTAGGTTTCTACTTATTTCAGATGTGTTTCAAAAATATTTAAACTAAAAAATAATACAGTTATTTGGCCAGTTCCGAATAAGAAACCGATTCGACGGTGCTATATATATACTAGAAATTATTTCAAAATCTAAGTGTTTTGTCAAGGTAGTTCAATGACTTGTGGTATTAAATATTGTTTCATAAAAGTTCAGCCTTCCCTCAAAAAAATTTATTTCGAAAGTTACCATAGGTGTCCATTTTACCAGTTAAGAATAAGCCGACGGGTTCCGGATACCCTAGAGATTCTTATTCAATTCAACCCTAAATTAAAAAATATACGTCCCATACGTTATCCATTGGCATGCCTAAGAAAAGTTAAATTAATTGCTTACCAATAAATTATTTGTATTTCCAAAGGTTGAAGAGAAACTAGAGGTATACTGTGGACACTGAGCTCATTTTAATGATGCCCCACGCCTCCTTTATGATTATTTAAGACAAAGTCCATGTTTTACTCTGGGAGACCCGAAATAATTGTCAGATCAAAAAGTAAAATAATAGGTCACAATGTCACAATGCAATAAAGAATATGTGAAAGTATCATTAAATCTTATTCAGTGGTATAGGAGGAATTGCGGACAAGAGATGGATATATCTTTCAATATTACAAAGAATGGCAGTATCTATGTTTTTCTCAGGGAGTCCAAATTATGTACCAGATCCAAAAATAAAAAAGGTGCACTTTGGCACTGTTAAACAAAGATTCTGTGAAAGACTCATTAAATTCTGTGAAGCCTCATTAAACTTCATTCAGTGGTAGAAGAGGGGTTGCGGATAAGAAATAGATACCCCAGAGCATATCAGACGGACAGACGTACAGCTAGACGGACGGACGGACGTACTGACGGACAGATGGACAAAATTCCATTACTATATACCGCTTCTTCCTGTTTTTCAAGCGGGGGTAGAATAAGTCACGTTTACAATGATGAAAACATCGAAGAGTGAATTTATAATAGTGTTTAAAATGAGTATTCGGAACTGGTAAAATAAGAGCACGAAAATATTTCGATATCTTCCAGTGTTCTAAATATTTATTTTTGATATGTTTTTAGTATATGTTAGAGTACATATCAAACTTACTTTTGATACCTAGAACGTTGTTTTATGTGAAAAATTTATGCATCTACAGAGGTTTTTCTGCAGACTTACGCATCGCGGTGATTCAGATTTGCTGCATTGTAAAACTGTGTCGACTGTTTCAAGTATGATAACGAAACCAAACTGAGGGCAAAAAATCAAAACTTCACATAATTCAAACACTCATGAATAAGCCTTCTTACCATAGAAATCAATTTATTTTTACATCATTGAATTTATAAATTATCAGTCCTTAAATTACTAATTATTCGGAACTGGCCAAAATCCGGAACTGGCCAAATGACTGTATTATTCATGTGACGATGTGATCAGCAGGCTACTAAGTATATAGTCCAATGACCAGGAAAAGGGTATAACGTACATCCATGCAAAAAAAGAATAGTAAAATTGTTAATTGAATTCAATTTCATTTCCTATGATGAAATATTAATGCGAAATTTGATTTTACAAAGTAATAATTCAATTTTCATTTTAAACAAATGTACTTTATATTTAATAAGTATCAACTTAAATTGTCTTAGTGATGTATTCAAGACTATTCAAAGGTTTGAAAACAAAATCACGGAGATTTTGTGAATATACTAGAAAGTGTGAAATAAGCAAAACAGCAAATAAAACTATAAATTATATATTTCATATATTCATGTTAAAGAAATAATATGAAATAACTTGTAATATATATATAAGTCTGCTTTTTATATACCAAACTATGACATCCGATTATAATCGGTAAAATCGCATCGGAAGCAGTAACCGATTCCAACCGATGATCAATTATGAAAATTAACCGATGTCCAATCACTAATACTTTCTCTCTGGTGCAGTCAATTGTTAATTTATTTACAGGTTTAGAAGTTTCCCGTAACTCTGCGGAGCCGCTTAGAAGCTTAGCTGTTAACCTGACGAACAGAATTGACAGATAATCTTGTAAAAACATTAAAAACATACCTTCCACAACTCATTGCGTGGGACATAATTACTTTAGAAGGAATAAACTTCTTTCTTATAAGAGGACGAATTTACTTTTCTGTGCAGAACTCAAAAGAACAGACTCAATCATTCAAACTCTAGTCAGAGAGCAAGCTATTTTCTTCCTGTGATGACTGTGGCATATTTGAATACTAGGCCTTTTTATCAAGTTCAATAAAATGAGTCTCAGCACAAAAAGTCAAAGCCAAAAGACGTAAAAACCCTGTTTCTACGCCAAACCGGTACCATCGGTTCTGGAGCTGAGATGACATTGTGGGGTGTTGTGTACTCTCGTAACAAACAGTATCCCCAAGAAACTTACCCAGAAGATCAACCCTATTAAAATCAAGCCGACCTTCGAAGTCATCGTACAACCCGACATAGCTGTAAAGTGTATTTTCGCTGAAACTAAATTGGTAATTTTTTGTTTATGCTAATGAGTAATCCGTCATGTGATGTTGATTAGCTAAATCGTTCACGGAAGTGTCTGGCCAAATCGTTCGAGAACTTTTTCGGCTTTGATATCGAATAAGAGCATTTTATGCTTTCGGTTTAGTATTGTCGCGTTCAGTTTTTTTTAACTAGTTGCTATCTGAAAATACGTGAGACTTTTGAATATCAACATTTCTTTGATCTTAAACCGAAAACAATTTTCAAATTAAAAAGATTCGATGATGCTGACATAGCGTTTTATGATTTTAGAAATTCGACTGGATTTCCTTTTTTTTCAAAGATCAAAACGTGCCTTTCTTTTGTTATCAGAAATTGTTCAGTTTAAAGAAAAGATATAATTCTCCATTGATTCGCAAACCATACTCAAATCTTTCTAAATTTAAAAAACAGAAATGCAATTCCAAGGGCGGATCCAGGGGGGTTTGGGGAGGTTCGGGAAACCCCCCCCACTCATTGATTTTTTTTTTTTTACAAGTGTTATTTTATCACTTTATTGCATTGATAAGACTCTAATAAACATGAACCCTTTGTTTATACAACTGTGAAATATACATCAACTACGTAACAGGAAATCACTTTCCGCTTGAACGCACACAATACACAGGTAATCAACAGAGAGAGTACCTCACAGATCGGGTAGTCCATGCATCAAGTGAAGTCACAAGGTCACAGTACAATGTAGTTAGGTACCAACAACAGAAAACTGCATAGTTACGGTGCTGCTCAGTAATATTCTTTTGCTGATAAAATGCATGTTTTTAAACTATGAATAAACTATTATTCAGGGTTTTTTTTTTTACCGTTTTAAAAATTAAATTAATATAATTTTTTTTTACAAAACCAGGTTGGCTTAGCAAACCCCTCTAGTTTTGACAGATTCTCCAGTTTTTTGTAATTTTTTTCTTCAGTTTGAAATTTCATTTATTGTACACGTGTGTTTATATTCCAAATCATATTGACAGTATAAACTCTAGTAAGTTGAAAAGCACTAGTAAGGGATAATCTGAAAAGAATTCAATTTTTAAGTTTTTTAGTGTTTAAAAATTTTGCACATTAGTTGTATCTTGGAAGTCAGTTTGACATTATGACATACGACTAAATTAATATTGTTACAGTAGATGCATTTAAAGTAAAGACAACTTGAAGTCAACTTCTTGTATTCCTAAAATTGTCAGATTTAACAAGTTTTGAAACCAAAGTCTAAAGTCTTGTGTTAAAGTTTAATCAAATTTAAAACATTTATTAAAAATTTGTGATGATCGGTCTTTAAAAAAGCTACAAAAAGTACCCCCAAAATGCTGGAAAATGCACCATTTAGAACCATTTAAAACAAAATTTTCTCGTGGGAGGCCCGAACCCCCACCTATGGGAGGGGGACACCCCCTCCGATGCCCCCCTTCGGCCCTTTGGGCCTCAAAACCCCCCACATGAACTTCTGGATCCGCCACTGAATTCCTCATTTTAAAGCTATCCCATTTCTGGACATATATTTCACAAATTTTCTTACAATGGAAATAACTCGTATAGCCAAAGGTAATGGCATTTTCCATACCATCTCTATTTATTTGCCATTTTCTAGCCATTTTTCATTCCATTTTTCATTTCAACAATTTTCCCCTCCATTTCTCTATCTATCTTTTAATTTTCTTCAACCATCTTTTCATAACCTATTAAAAAATTATTTTTTGTAAGAAAATGCTTTTTAAATGGTAAATTTAATGTACACTATTTTTACTTGAGTAAATGGAAAGAAATGTCAGTTTGGTGATCCACCGGATGCTTGATCATGCCATTTTTTTCTCATTGATTTTCCGAGACGTTATTTAATAAGGAAATGGTTATTTTAGGCATATTCTTAACCCTCAAGTTTGCTAAGTTTTTTTTTCTTTTTTGTGCAGAACTGGCTATATATCAGATTTCCTCCCCAGCTCTGTAGTGACTTTTTCAGTTATAAACCCCTGCCGCTTGAAACGTGGGAGGGTATACAGGGCACAAATTGTGTAAAATCTCGTCTTTACTTATCATGATAAGTATAGACGAGATCACCCGTGGGTTTCCGACGATGACAGGGATCGGGATGTTCGTCCCTCCATACAGACATTCTTTTGCTTCTTTCTTTTTTGTCGGCGCAACTCCTCTTAAACCGCTGCACAGAAATTCATCAAACTCTAGGACACTGTGTAGATGTCCATATTGCCAGGGAATTCCGATTCCTTTATTTTTTCGGGGGATTTTCGGCACTTTTCAACTTAGATTTTTGGCCTTCAACGCAACTTCTTTCAGTTAAACCGCTGCCCAGAATTTCGTCAAACTTTTGCAGATTTTCAGGACACATGTATAGATATGCAAAATCTGTAACAGACAATGATTTTAATGTCCTTATATGAAAGAAGCTTTGATGTGGTGATTTTTTTTTTTTTGCAAGCAATGCCTCTTTTTGAATTATACCTTGTAAATTAAAGTGCACATAACTTTTGAAGGAGGAAAGATAGGGCTTTCATATTTCACATGAACATTACATGTGTTAAGACATTTCAAAGTAAACTATAAATTTTGACCTGTGACCTTGCCGTTTGACCTACTTTTCAAAAAAATTAACATTAAACTTTTAATTGGTCATAACTTTTGAACGAGAAAAGATAAGGCTTTTATATTATTCATGTATATTACCTGTGATAAGACCTTTCAAAATATACTATAGTTTTTGACCAAATGACCTTGACCTTGAAGTTTGACCTACTTTTTAAAAATGATCTTTCCTTATAACTTTTGAATGAGAAGAGATAGGGCTTTCATATTTGATATGAATTACATGTGACAAGAGATTTCCGAGCATACTATAATTCCTGATCCTTTGACCTTGATCTTCACGCTCGATCTAATTTTCAAAAAAAAAAAAAAAGAAAAAAGAAATAACTGGTGAAAACTTTTGAACGACATATGATAGGGCCGCCCCCTTTTTTGTTGCAGTATATACATGTAGTAAAAAGTGGGAATGTAGAGGCACAACGAAGAAATTTGTAGGATCGAACTTCTTTTGAAGTTCGATCCTATACCCCAGGTCAGTTTTTTTTCAGGTAAGTTGAAAATTCACCCCCCCCCCCTTATTCTAAAAGACGATGCTATTATGACGTCCTTAGAATGCATGGTTTAATGGGTGAACCAAGTGCAGTTTTTAAATATGATAAAGCGATAATATTGGAAAAATACATAATACTAAATTACAATAAAATTCAGAGAATCATAGCACATTTTATGAAAATGATCGTAAAGTTTTTTACCTTTTTACCCTTTTATAAAACTGGTCATAAAACCAAATTTTCTTTCCCCCCCCCCCCCCCAAAAAAAAAACAAACAAAATTGTGGGAAGTGCAGTAAATTAATATTCGATAACTTGATATATAAATATATCAAGTAAATGTTTCTTGTTATGAGTTAATTGATAGACTTTGATATTCGACCTGTCCACACATTTATGTGTTGTGATGATATGCAAGACCAATAATATCACTGCGATAGTCAACTTGATGTGTGTATTAAAAACCTCATCTACTAAATCGCACTTCCTCCTTGTTCATTGCACATGTATATTCACACACAGTGCGGATCACATTGATGTTGCTGCGATGTAAACATGACTGGCGAAGGGTAAGGATTATCATTTTTTGTGAACATTTTTAAATTACGTGTATTTAGTTTAATACGATCATATTATGCTTCTTTGTTACTTGAAAATTATTTCCTTGACTGGGGTCATGGGACTTTCGTTTTAACTAGAGGTACGTTACTCATTTATGTTTTGTTGTTGTTTTAGAAACTTTGATAAATGCACTGCAGAGTAGAATTATGTAATAATAACTGCGAACACACACACCAAGTGTATGGTGTAGTTTCCTGGGGAATGTAAGGGGGGGGGGGTCCTTGGGAATGAAGAGTGGAGGGGGAGGGGGTAACATTATACACCATGCTTATACTACGTACGGACCATGAGGAAGGGTATACAAGTTCCACATGTAGGATCTGAGGAAGCGGAATTTACTTTAGAAATTAAAGTTATATATTTTATCACGTGTTAGAAGTTGGAATTAAAAATTGATTGCCCATTCTTCATTTACAAAACAGAGAACCAAATTCGTGTAAATTTTTGCACTTTTTCATGAAAAGTTAAATACCCTGGAATAGAGTGCAGATTCCCAGGAACTGTCCATCCTTAGTCTAATCACTGTTAATCACCTGATATACCGGTACACCATGACATGTTCACTTTTCCTGCATGTCCACCCACACTCTCTCCTTGTCACCCTAACCTCCATCTTTTCCTTACATTTTATTCTCATCCTTCTCCATGTTTTTTTCCACCTCTTATCCTTTTTTTTTTTGCTTGATCTTCCTCAAACTCTTTTGATACAATACCAATAATTTTAACAAATCTATAACTAATTATGACATTTCCTATTCTCTTTCATTCAGTTTTTGACCTTAATTTATACCATTGATAGACTTTCTGTTATATATGTACAGAACTAAGGTACATTATTATATTCTAAAAGAAGAAAAAGGGATCATTGTATTGCATGAGTTTTTCAGCTCACTTCATTGAGCTCACTCAATGGTTTTGCAAGATACATGCATGCATGTATTGGATTTTTTGAGAATGGTAGACATTGTGTGTATATTGGATTCAATAATTCTGCATTTGATAATGTACTTATCATTTTTTTTAATCAGCATGTTCAAAAGACCAATTTAAGTTTGACGGAATACAGCCTAAACCACATTAAAGGGCAGCATTTTGAAACAATTAAAAGATAATTCTATTTTTTTTTTTTTTAGCAAACAATCATGTCAATATTAATTTATTAAATAACAATTCTTTATCAAAACAATAGTTGACCGCTACAATTGTCTTCTTAATATGTTAATTATGCTTATTAAATCAAATGTACTGTAGTAGGAAAGGAGAAATGCACGAAGAAAACATATGGCTGGACTGGGAATCAAACCCGGGACCCCTGTATTACTAGTCAGG